GCTTTATGACAACAAAACAGAGCATTTTGAGCTTTGGAGATGTAGACAAACTAATAATTAAGACTTATTCAAACATGTGAACGAAATTAAATGCAACTCTAGGTTTGTTTTTGAGGAAATAACAATATTCTAACATGTCTAGAGTCAATAATGCGTAATATGAGCCCGTCAATATAGACATTGGCCAGGTGTAACTGCAGCTATTCAAAAATAAAACCACACAAAACAGGAATTGATCTCATATTTCACTGTTTACACTTCTCATTTGTGAGAGCTGAAACCGAGTCCTTAATATCTATTACGTTACATTACAAGCTTTTATAGAATGTTTACAAAAGATTAGCCTTGCCGCAGAAGGCCTACCCGCGGTCACCAAATTACCGACATTTATTAAGCAGAAACGAAAATAACTTTTGGCTAATTTTCCACCTGAGTCACAGCCGGACACTCAAGCTATTCATATTTGAGCTCCGTTTGTCATCGTATCCTACACAATGAGTCACATCAAATGGCCGAAACAGGACGGCTTATTTGAAATTCAAATTGATCTATAGGCCCTATCTACTGTATGCCCTTATAAGCACAGAAGAAGAAGAAGAAGCGGAGTGAAGCGTCAGTGAAACATGTGAGGTTTAATCTGGGTAAGATAATTGTGAAAAGCATTGATATACGATATTGTGAGAGTATTTTTGGTGTATTTTACGAAATTTTGTTAAACCATGACAATTTAGTTGTTTGTTAGGGCAAGGAAACTCATTTATGCAACATATTTGACATTTTCACTCTTTTTTTAGGACTAAAATGTTCACGTTTCATGTATTTTACGAAATTATTTTGTTAAACCACGACAATTTTGTTGTTTGTTAGGGCAAGGAAACTCATTTATGCAACACATTTGACATTTTTACTCTTTTTTAGGCCTAAAATGTTCACGTTTCATGTATTTTACGAAATTATTTTGTTAAACTAAGTCAATTATTTGTTTGTTTGGTGCAAGGAAACTCATTTATGTGACACATTTGATATTTTCACACTTTTTTAGGACTAAAATGTTCATGTTTCATATGAACTTTGCACAAGAAGTGGTTTAACAAGCACGTTTAGTATCACAGCCATGATTTAGCCTTTATTTTTTACTGAATCATATCAAATTTAAATATCAGTGAAACACGTGACGCTTTTCTTGGTCTAATCTGGGTAAGATAATTATGAAATGTACTGATATACAATATTGTTTAATGTGACGATAAAGTATCGATATCGTGGGAGTATTTTTTATGAAATTATTTAGTTAAACCATGATAATTTCGTTGTTTGTTTAGTGGAAGGAAACTCATTTATGCAACACATTTGACATTTTCACTCTTTTTTTTAGGACTAAAATGTTCACGTTTCATGTATTTTATGAAATTATTGTGTCAAACCACATACATTTTTTAGTTTTTTAGTAAAAGGAAACTCATTTATGCAACACATTTGACGTTTTCACTCTTTTTTAGGACTAAAATGTTCACGTTTCATATGAAGTTTGCACAATAAGTGGTTTAACAAACACATTTAGTATCACAGCCATGATTTAACCTTTACTTTTTATTGAACGTGACGCTTTTCTTGGTCTAATCTGGGTAAAATAATTGCATTGATATATTGAAATGCATTGATATAGGATATTGTTTAATGTGATTGAACAGTATCGATATCGTGGGAGTATTTTTTGGTGTATTTTACAAAATTATTTAGTTAAACCATGACCATTTTGTTGTTTGTTAGTGCAAAGAAACTCATTTATGCAACACATTTGACATTTTCACTCTTTTTTAGGACTAAAATGTTCACGTTTCATATGAACTTTGCACAATAAGTGGTTTAACAAAGACGTGCCATGATTTAGTCTTTACTTTTTACTGAACCATATTGAATTTAAACATCAGTGAAACAAGTGACGCTTTTCTTGGTCTAATCTGGGTAAGATAATTGTAAAATGTAATTAAAAACTTACCCAGTTTTACTCTCATTTCATTTCACTCATCGTTTTTGTTTCCTGGTGAGGCCAAAACTTGTCTAAACCGCAAAGTAGTTATTATTTGAGGACTAAAAATACACAGAAATACATTTATATTCTTAAATGATGTTAAAACTGTGAGAAAAATGTGTTTTTGCGTCGCATAATCTCAAAGTTTGAACGGCGTTTTGTTAAAATTACACGTAAATGGTTTCCTTTTTCGTACTCAGCACTGCTCACTCTAATTAGTAAACATGTGTAGATCATTATTTGACGTTTTGTTTGTTGTAAATAGAATTGACTTCCTGTTCAAAATTGCAGAAATGAGTCGTCCCTCTTCTTCAGAATCAGATTTCACCGTGATAAACTGTAGATTTAAAAAAAAAAGACTTGTTTTTATTATTGAAATGACTAAATCAGTGTTTTTTGTTACGTTCAGGAGACTATGGGAGCTTCTTAAGTCTAAAAACTAACCTTGACTATATATTTGCAAAACGAAATCGCAAATAGTTTTGTCATAAACTAAAAGTAAACTAAAAAAGGGCCCATATTGTGTCATTTTCTGATCTGTGTTATGTAGTTTCCTCATCACAAACAGACCTGGAGTTGTGTTTTTGCTTCATTTACACAAAAAAACGCATATTCTGAGCTCTTCTCGCAAACCGAAAACACTCTGTTCCACCTTGTGACGTCATGTGGTGATACAGCAAGTGCTCCACTGTGTTTTAAACTCCGTACAGCTTCTTTACTTGAATAATTTGGATGATTTCAGCTCTGGAATTGCCAACTACAGAACAAAAACATATAAAAAAGGTAGATGTTAACTTGAAAACTACTGCTCCGTGACAACACAAGGTGGAACAGAGCGTTTTGAGCTTAAGAGATGTAGACAAACTAAAAAAAACACAAATCCTAGTGTGTTTTTGAGGAGGTTGTGGCACTAAAACACATCTTAAGACTCGACAAGGATCCATTTTGTGTAATACGACTGCTTAAGGATTAAATAAAAGCTGTAAGTGACATTTATACTCCACGAATTGAACGAGATTAAACTACTAAAATAAAAAAAATACGTACTGGCACTGTTAATCTTAACCAACGCTCCGACGTGACCCGGGAGGCGGGGACAGGGGGTAAGATCTGTTAGGTGAAAACTGCTCTTTTTAAACGCACTCAAATCACAAACGCCGGACGTCGCAGGATCTCTCCATCAATCAAAACGCAACCCGGAAAGTTAACGACGAGAGAACGCGATTATAACACGGTCGAAAGCTTTTTATAGGCTAATTTCCCCGCTTTAAGAAGAAGTTGGAAATGCTCTGACTAGGCCTGTATGAAAAGACTATAACGCGCATTTGTACAGGAGGAAATATTAACCGCAAAATGGATTATAAGGGGTTTTTAAGTAGCATGTTAATGGCATTCTCTGTGCAAATGCTCGTATCTCTCCATCGGCTCGCTCACTCACAAAGACGCCGTACTAACAGTCACTCAGTGCCACCCAGAGTCACCCTATGCCCACCTCTGTGCCTTCAAGCAAGCGATGCAATTTCTCAAGTTCACTTTTAGGTCAGACGCCAAAACAGCTGAAATTAACACCACAAAATGCCAACCAGGACACGGCGTTGGTTGTTACAATAAAAAAAAAAAACGAATAACACATGACGATTGATTTGTCAGGAAAGCAAACAGAAGAAAGAAAAAAAAAAAAAAGAGAAGAGCTGCTCGTTCCCTCGGACACCTTTTTGACTTTAAGTGAGGGGACGGTGTTGGAAGATATTTTGATCGAGCCCGGGTTCGCTCTGGCGTGCTCTCCTGTGACATTTAGCACACGCAAAAGACGCTGTCATGAGATAAATGTATCAGGAGCTGGTTTATTTAAAGATGAATCACCGTTTTTTTTTCTTTTTTTAATTATTCAGAGCATTTGCATTCCAATATGACTAATGGAGTGGGGTGCTTGCGTGTGTACAGGGTATTAAAAAAAAATACATCAAGAGCAAAAAATGTCACTCAGATAATTCCTTTAGTAATTTACTTGTCATTGCCCACAAGAAGGAATCCTCTAGTGGCGGGGAAATGGAAGTGCTCCGGTTCATTATGAGGACTGATAAAGGCACAATGCGAAGATAGCGAGGGTCAAATGTACCAAAGTAAACTCACCTCCGACTAAAAGAAACTACTACGCGGTGAATATGAGGAAAGATCGCGTCCGGGGAGGTGATTTAGGGGGTGCGTGGCGGTGTTTTACTGTGGCTTTTCTTTTTCCAAGCGCGTTATTGATCGGAGTCTGTCTGCAATGAATGGCTGCAAAGGGGAAGGGGGAAAAACCCTGAACTTCAGGTGACCGACCATGGCTCTGACACAGCCTGCATGCAGACGGGGAGGGGTGCAGAAAAACACACAGGCTCCTTTAGGGCTACACTTTAAAAAGTCGACGACAAACAGGCGCGTAAAAACATGTTTCCGCGCACAGAAGCAGCGAAACTACGAGACCCAAAGTTGCAAATATAAAGCGGATGAAATGAAGTTTAGCCCGCGTTGCTAGATAGCGCTAGTGCTAACGAGGAACACTGGGAGATCGGGGGAGCCAGACTCTGGCTTGTCTGATCCGGCTGACCCTTCATTTTATTGCGGCCAGACTCCCAGAACCTCCCCTTTCTACCCGAAAGCGACCGAGCAAAGGCGAGCACATTACCGACACCGCTGTGCTGTGGTTCCTCTCACACATGACCGACACATATGCCCACTGACCACGGGCTTTAGCGGAACCGGACCTCCGCCGATTCTACTCTTAATAAAGAAGCCACGTATCATTTATCCACTCAGTGCCTCGCTAACATTACCCATCGCCAACAACATGGCTGCCTCGCTCGGACCTAAAAAGGGAGAAATAACCTACGCCGAGTCTTTTGTCTGTTTCACCTCTTTAACCCTAAACTACTGCGCAAAACACACGGAGAGCGGTAAAAATGCACAAATCGACAGAAGGACTTACGTGAAGGCAGGCGCTTGGGTTGCTCCTGCTTCCTCCTTGGCATTTTCCCCCGTTTTTAATCACATTCTCGTCCTTGTTTAGGGATAAGAAGAAAAAAGGTTTTTCCCATTGAGACTGGAGGCGCCCGTGATGGCAGGGACTTGGTCGTGCACCTGGCTTTGCTCGGTTTAAAGTGTATTGTTGGGGAATGGGCACAGAGCGGAGGAGGCGCCGCTGTTGTTGTTGCCGTGTCTTGACTATGGCTGCTCTCGGTGCAAGTGTGTCTCCGAGCCCCTAACTAACACTAATGCAGGGATCAAAGGGCAGCAACAGCAGAGCAGGCACACGCGCGCACGCACACCGCGCACACACTCACGCATACTCGCAGCCGCACGCGCTCTCCCTCTCGCTCGCTCGCACGCTCGCACACACACACACACACGCGGGCACGCACGCACGCACGCAAACGCAAACGCACTCCTGCTCGCCCCCGACAGTGGCGCACGGACAAGGTGCCCCCGAGCTTTCAGGGTGTATTGCCGAACACGAAATGGATTTGAAAAAGCGTAATTCGGCGCAGGGACCATATTGATGGAGTCAAATTACATTCCGCCCGGCTGATTTATTTGTCTGCGGAAACTGTACCACCCTGACGCACGCATTTTACAGCGTGTATGCAAATGAACAGGTGAAAATAGACACGATATTTATGATACGTGCGGTGTGGAATCCAGACCAGCTTCAAATGCGTTACTTTGATGGACAAATAATAAACTGCTTTTCGCGGAACATTTTTGAGATAAAGTACTTTTAAAAGTTTAGTTCAACATTACGAGGTGCAAAAATATAAAAAGAAAATGTTGATACACGATATTGTTTAATGTTATGATGCTGTATTGATATATCTCCAAGGGTATTTTTGGTACATCTTACATTTTTTACGTTTTGTTGTTTGTTTAGAGCAAGAATCTTCAACATTTTTTCCTCTGGTGAGCTACTTTTACAAAATAAAAATGCCATAAAGCTACTTATTTTAACAGCTACAACAAATGTAGTGTACATAAGAGCCACATCCTTAGATTAGAGACAGTGTATAGATAAAATATAAACTATTATTCATTTATTAGTGCACAAACCTGTGCATTAATATAATTAATAAGGATTTAAAAATAACAGAAATATTGTTATATCGTATCGTCAAGTTCTCGCGATAATATCACAATATATCGAATTACAAGTCTCTTTGCATAAATTAAGAGTTATGGTGCAGCAAAAGCTAAAAAAAGACAGAGGGAACTACATAGACCATGATCCTTTGCTCCATTTCAGTGTGACGAAAGAAATAACAGAAAGAAAGAAGAAATAAGAGTTCTAAGCACTTTTAAATCTTAGATCTTTGTCTCATTTTAAGAGGAAAAAGAAGCAGTTTTGTTCACAGTCTCCACAAAATATCACAACAAATATCGTACCGAGAGATTGGAATATCGTTACATCTCTAATCATGAGCCTCCCCACTGTTATTTTATTATTTATAGATTGTGCACGACCAGAGATGTGCGAACTGAATTACCCTTTGGGATTAATAAAGTTGTTGATTGATTGATTGATTGTTTGATTGATATCGTGATCTTTCCCACGGTATCGCAATAAATATCGAGTCAAATTACATTCCGCCCGGCTGATTTATTTGTCTGCGGAAACTGTACCACCGCATTTTACAGCGTGTATGCAAATGAACGAGTGAAAATAGACACGATATTTATGATACGTGCGGTGTGGAATTCAGACCAGCTTCTGAAGTACTTTTAAAAGTTTAGTTTAACATTACGAGGTACAAAAATATAAAAAATATTGATACACAATATTGTTTAATGTCATGATGCTCGATCGATTTATCTCCGAGAGTATTTTTGGTACATTTTACTAAATTATTTTGTTAAAGCACGACTTGTTGACGTTTTGTTGTGTGTTTAGAGCAAGAATCTTCAACATTTTTTCCTCTGGTGAGCTACTTTTACAAAACAAAAATGCCAAAAAGCTACTTATTTTAACAGCTACAAGAAATGTAGTGTACATAAGGGCCACATCCTTAGATTAGAGACAGTGTATAGATAAAATATAAACTATTATTCATTTATTAGTGCACAAACCTGTGCATTAATATAATTAATAAGGATTTAAAAATAACAGAAATATTGTTATATCGTATCGTCAAGTTCTCGCGATAATATCACAATATATCGAATTACAAGTCTCTTTGCATAAATTAAGAGTTATGGTGCAGCAAAAGCTAAAAAAAAAAGACAGAGGGAACTACATAGACCATGATCCTTTGCTCCATTTCAGTGTGAAGAAAGAAATAACAGAAAGAAAGAAGAAATAAGAGTTCTAAGCACTTTTAAATCTCAGATCTTTGTCTCATTTTAAGAGGAAAAAGAAGCAGTTTTGTTCACAGTCTCCACAAAATATCACAACAAATATCGTACCGTGAGATGATTGAATATATCGTTACATCTCTAATCATGAGCCTCCCCACTGTTATTTTATTATTTATAGATTGTGCACGACCAGAGATGTGCGAACTGAATTACCCTTTGGGATTAATAAAGTTGTTGATTGATTGATTGTTTGATTGATATCGTGATCTTTCCCACGGTATCGCAATAAATATCGAGTCAAATTACATTCCGCCCGGCTGATTTATTTGTCTGCGGAAACTGTACCACCGCATTTTACAGCGTGTATGCAAATGAACGAGTGAAAATAGACACGATATTTATGATACGTGCGGTGTGGAATTCAGACCAGCTTCTGAAGTACTTTTAAAAGTTTAGTTTAACATTACGAGGTACAAAAATATAAAAAAATATTGATACACAATATTGTTTAATGTCATGATGCTCGATCGATTTATCTCCCAGAGTATTTTTGGTACATTTTACTAAATTATTTTGTTAAAGCACGACTTGTTGACGTTTTGTTGTGTGTTTAGAGCAAGAATCTTCAACATTTTTTCCTCTGGTGAGCTACTTTTACAAAACAAAAATGACAAAAAGCTACTTATTTTAACAGCTACAAGAAATGTAGTGTACATAAGAGCCACGACCTTAGATTAGAGACAGTCTATAGATAAAATATAAACTATTATTAATTTATTAGTGCACAAAACTTTGCATTAATATAATTAATAAGGATTAAACAATAACCGAAATATTGTTATATCGTATTGTCAAGTTCTCGCAATAATATCACAATATATAGAATTACAAGTCTCTTTGCATAAATTAAGAGTTATGGTGCAGCAATAGTTTAAAAAAGACAGAGAGAACTACATAGACCATGATGCTTTGCTCCATTTCAGTGTGACGAAAGAAATAACAGAAAGAAAGAAGAAATAACAGTTCTAAGCACTTTGAAATCTTAGTTCTTTGTCTCATTTTAAGAGGAAAAAGAAGCATATTCACAGTTTTGTTCGCAGCCTCCACATAATATCACAACAAATATCGTACCGTGAGATGTACATCGTGAAAATATCGTATCGTGAGACTTGGATATCGTTACACCCCTAGTAATTAATAAAAATTTGATTCAGAAATACCTTGGCCTGAGCAACAAGTTGGTTTAGAGGAAGGAAACTCGACACATTTGATATTTTCACTCTTTTTTATGATTAAAGTGTTTGTGTTTCATTGTAACTTTACGCAATAAGGCTACGTTCACACTGCAGCCTGAAGTGACCCAAATCCGATTTTTTTGGCCCCTATGCTCCTGTATCTGATCTTTTAATGACAGTCTGAACCACACAGATCCGATTTTTTCAAATGTGACCCAGGAAACTTGGATATGTGCTCCTGAAACTGATACATATCTGATTGTTTGACATGTGACTTCAGTCTGAACGGCCAAAGTGCATTCATCCACCTACACGTTATCAACAAGCCACAAACGTCACTATTCTGCGCTGAAGTCGGCGAAAATTGTTAATGAACTCCGTGTCACTGAAGCGAAGCACATCACCACTCACCACTCTTGGCTCCGTCTCCGCATCCACACGTTCCTTTCAACGGACTGAACCACAAAACACCACGACCAAAAACCTCGTCCTTCTCCTTCTCAATCTCCTCCTTAAAACAAGTAAGTTGTTCATGTTCAACTTCCGTAAACACAGAGACGCTCGCTGCGGTTGACGTCGTCGTGTCTCCAGTGCACATGCGGGACACTTTAACGTTCACACTGGAGTCACAAACAAGTCGCATTTAATTGGAAACGTGAACGACCTCGCAAAAACATCGGATTTCACAAAAAAATCCGAATTGAGCGTTAAAGGTTGTATAGAGGATTTTTTTAAGGGAAGAGAAATACAGCGACAGTCCTTGTGCGCATTCAGAATCACTGTTGAAGTGACCTGTCTAGAAGTAATTCAGCGACCGACGCATCAGTTTTTAGACCCTTCGTCTGCTTCGGTCGTGTGCTCAGTTTGGCTTTGCTACTTTTCCACTTCTCTTCTTCTTTCAGCGACCTCAAAAACTGACTTTCTTTTGCGGGGAACCGGTCGTGGATTCTCGTCCGCCGTCGCGACAAACTTTGTGCGAAATGCGAGGAAGCGACAGTTCGAAAATGCCTCTAAGAACCGTTGCGTAAACCACATAATCCCCACGCTCCGATGAGTCAGTTATACTAGGGAGTTTGATTGACAACCTAACAGCCAATAGAAAATGAGGGAGCCTTGTTTTCTATTGGCTGATGTTTATCTGGCCTCACTACGTCCACAGTTGATAGATTTTCGTTCTTTTTTTTTTGGTCATCATAATTACAAAGCTGCCGCGTCTCTGTAATGGTATTTTAATCTTTCACTGACAGTTTGAAACAAAAAAAAAATCCTCCATACAACCTTTAAGCCCTGCAGTCTGAACGTAGCCTAAGTGGTTTAAAAGACGTTTAGTATCAGAGCCATGATTTAGCCTCGAATCGAATTTAAATATATCGTACTGAATCGAAAGCGCACTTTATCGAGATATGTACCGTATCGGCAGCTTCTGAATGATACCAAACTCTATTAAACATAAAATAGATGTTGTCCAAAGTTATGTATTCAGCATTTTACTAATGTCGCCGTAACCTTTGTTGGGTTTTCAGCCTGCGCGTGCTCCTTTCTGCCACCGGTCATATTATAGCCGCTCGCCGCTGGATTGTCCTCATAATTACATGGTAAAACATTATATATTTGAGTTAGCAGTATTTTTATCCCCTCCACCCCCTCTTCCTGCCAGCCCCCATGCTTCA